TAGTATTAAAAGGGTTTGATGAACAATAATTGTAAGCTAATAACGTGTAGGTTCTCAAGTATGGCAAAAAAATAAAAAAACAGGGGTGTAAGAATTATGAACAGATGGTAAGGATTTTTGGGAATACAAATGCTACTGGCAAGCATGTTCATCCTTCTACAAAGCCACCCAGACCTCACCAAGTGCTAACAATGCCTCAAGTGGCAACACATGAAGTTCAAATTCATAACACTGAGGGCAATGTGGGCATGACTGATGTAGAACGACTTAATGTAGAAGGACCTATTGACCTCAGTCCTACTCCTAAACCTGTAGCTAAGAAACAGAAAAAAGAAACTTTTTAAGAAACAATGTCTTTAGTGATGGAATGTTTGACTAATATTGGGAACGCGAAAGCTGAGAAAATTGTAAAAGCCATAGCAGAATTATCTTCTAGTTGTCAACCATCTCGATTTACCGAAATGCCTGAAGTGACATCTCCCAGTAAAAAAGAAAAAGAAATGAATCCCCAGCTTGAAGAGTGCGTTAAGATTGTCAACACATTAGTGGGGATTGATGATACCCATTATGCTAAGATCATAAGGATGTTTGGTGAGGACAAGGTGTGGAGGGACATATTTCTTCGCATTCCTGATGACAGGAAGGTTGGGTGGGTGATGAATCAGCCTCTGTGATTTCTTCGGTATCTTACTTTTATGTGCTTTTGGATGACTGCTTTATAACTGCTTTTACATTACTGTTGGATGACTGTAATGAATTTTTCTTATCTACTGCTTTTACATTATTGTTGAAAAACTGTATTTAATTCCTCTATCTACTACTTTTAAATTAATGCTGGATAACTATTTATGTTCTATATCTATTGCTTTTACATTATTGCTGAATAATTGTATGATTTGGTATGTCTTTTCCATTTTGCTTAATTTTTATTACAATAACTGCTTCTGTTTATTCTTAAATAGGATAGTAGTTATGGACATAAGGACAATATTAACCATTTATGATGATGATGATGATGAGGAAATTCTTGTATTGATCGCAGCCGTATATGAGTACTATCATAAACATTTTGATAAGCAACGTTGTAGGGATTCCATGTTACAAGGGGAAGATTACATATTCGAGCTCTTAAATGGACATGAAGATAGGTGTTATGAAAATTTTCGGATGTACCCCAACACCTTTAGGGCATTGTGTCGTGAGTTGAAATTGTTAAGATTGAAAGATTCAACATTTCTAACGGTAGAAGAACAAGTTGCAATTTTCCTACTTACCGTGTCTCACAATGAAAGGAATCTTGTCGTTGCTGAAAGATTCCAACACTCTACATCCACAATTTCATATTACTTTCATACTGTCTTAAAGTTAATTTGTGAGATAGGGACTAATATTATTATTCCCCCGGATTTGAATGAAATTCCTAAAGAGATAAAGAACAATCCAAAGTTTTAACCATACTTTAAGAATTGTGTAGGAGCCATAGATGGTACTCATATCCATGCTGCAGTGCCAGTTGACCAACAAATACCCTTTCGTGGTAGAAAGGGTGATACGACCCAAAATGTCATGGCCGTGTGTTCATTTGATATGAAATTCACAAACATTCTAGCAGGGTGGGAAGGGTCTGCTAATGATTCGAAGATTTTAAATGAGTGCATTCAGAATCAGGATTTCAATTTTCCATCACCACCCGAAGGTAAAAATATTACCTTTCCATATTTATGCATTTAACATTATAAATACGTTAATTTTAATACTTAACATGACAGGTAAGTTTTATTTAGTGGACTCTGGGTACGCCAATCAACCGGGGTTTTTGGCCCCTTACCGGGTTCAACGTTACCACATGCAGGAATATCGTAGACATACTAGAGGACCACGTGGTAGAGAAGAGGTGTACAATTTTAGGCACTCGTCGTTGAGGAATATCATAGAGCGAAGTTTTGGGTTGGTAAAGATGAGATTCGTTATATTGAAGCAAATGCCCCCTTATCACTTTGACACTCAAGTTCTTATTGTCATTGCCTGTTGTACATTGCATAATTTCATAAGATCCCAAGGTGAATCTGATGAAATTTTTGATTCTGAAACCCCTCAATCTTCACAAAATGAACCTGATGTGGATGACGATGTTCAGGTTGTCAGTGCTACTAATACACAGATACGACAGATGGATATTTATTGTGATGGTATTGCCAACCTAATTTGGGAGCACTTTAATCACTAATTATAAAACTGTCTAATAGTGTGTAGAATTTTAATATGGATAACTGTAATAACTAATTATATTACGTAAATTAAACTCAGATGCTCCTTATTTATGGATAACTGTAATAACTAATTATATTAGGACATCAAATATTAAATACTTTAGTACTTGTAGGCGCACTTATGTATAGGCTTGAAGGTGAGCGACCACAATGTGCATATGGTAGAGGTCCTATGCATCTGTATAGGGCTCGAACTCCAAAAAATGATGGTCGACAATTCTATAGGTGTCCAGCTCGGGAGGTATGGTTTTAAACTTTTAGGTGCTATTTCTGTTACTGTTTCTTAATTGTATAATTTATATTTCTTGTAGTTACATATGAATGCATTTATGTGGGTGGATGAGTTGCACCAAGGTGCACAAGTTGAAGAACATGTTCAATCTGACTTGGACTAAGTCATTACAATGATTCAAAATGAACAATGTAGACAGAAGTACATGCTCTTCCTAGGTTGTGGATGTCTTGCTATCACAATCATGTTTATTGTGATTGTCCTCTTGTTGCTCATTATCGTTGTTATTGAAAGATGAAGTTAGATAAACTTCCATCTTTTGTAATATATGACATGTAATACGTATTTAGTTAATTTCTAGTGTTTCATTTGGTGTGTAATATATACTTAGATGGTATATTTTGAACTGCGTATTAGTTGTTGTTGTGTTCTCTTCTCTGTCATTTTGGGAGTGAGCTTTAGGGCATTTGTAAAATTTGCTACTGAGGTCATTTACACTCTATTTGCAACTTAGTCTGAAAAAATGTTAGATATATCTTATTTACTACTTCTAATTATTTCATTCCTACCGTGTGTTATTTTGTTTTTCTCTAATGTTGTTCATGTGTTTTGTTTTGCATGAGGTCATTTAGACTTTAAATTTACAACTAAGCCTGAAAAAAGGTTAGATATATTTTATTTACTACTTCTAATTATTTCATTCCTACCGTGTGTTATTTTGTTTTTCTCCAATGTTGTTCATGTGTTTTGTTTTGCATAAGGTCATTTATACTCCAAATTTGCAGCTTAGCCTGAAAAAAGGTTAGATATATCTTATTTACTACTTCTAATTATTTCATTTCTACCGTGTGTTATTTTGTTTATCTCTAATGTTGTTCATGTGTTTTGTTTTGCATTGAGGTCATTTACACTCCAAATTTGCAGCTTAGCCTGAAAGAAGGTTAGATATATTTTGCTTGAATTAAATTTGTGGACGGTGTCCGTTGTTAATTGTGGGCGGTGTCCCTTGTTAAATGAATTTTGTGGGCGGTGTCCCTTGTTGAAATAATTTTGTGGGCGGTGTCCCTTGTTAAATGAATTTTGTGGGCGATGCCTCTTATTGAATTAATTTTGTGGGCGGTGTCCCTTGTGTTTATTGTGTTTTGAAATTTTGGAAATGTCCATTTTTAAGGGGAAGTCACGCCGGATTTTTTAAAAATAAAATAAAATAAATTGAATTTAACTCTGCTTTATATTTTGCTTCTATAGGTAATGTCTTGTTTTAGATTCAAATTCATTTTTTGCTACTACATTGAAGGACATGGCAGTAAGTTGTAGGCAGTGGCACTAGTGGGATTGATAGGAAGCATTCTCCAGTTGTTGCAACTCCAGAAAGCTAGTGATCTCTAAGTTAATCAAATGGAGGCCTATGCAAGTATAAAGAAGTAGGTGTACATTTTATGGAATGAATATTAGTGATATCCAGTTGTGTGTACATTTTATGCAAGTGTAATGAATTGTGTGTGTACACACATACTATTTTTAAGGAATGTCTAGCTCTTTATATGTGGAAGTATATATGTGAATGGTGCAACACTCGAGTTCTTAAGATTGTGATGTACAAAGCAAAACTATACATGGAAGTATATATGTGAATGTTGTTCAGTCTTATAAGAGGGATTTTCTTTGATTGCTTGCTTTTAATCTTTATTCATATTTATCAATTCTGCTTATGGTTGGATATTGTATGAAATATTCACAAGTCCGTTATCAAAATAAATACTCAAGAAAAGGGGAAATGGTCTCATGACTAAACAAAAAAAATATTACTAATTTGAAGGACCTCCACTACAAAATTTCAAACTAATCTAAGTGAAGTAAAACTATTCACAAGCTTCAATGTCCACCAAATCTCAACTCTGACCAATTCAAGACAATCAACGTTTTGGCTTTGTTTCTTGTTAGTTTCAACTATAAGGATCTCTTTCTCTCTCACATTCATCATGAATTTATATAATATATATATATATGAAACAAAACAAAGTTAAATGGAATGCAAGTCAAAAGAAAAAGATAAATGGAGTACAAAGATCTGCTCTCATTGAAAGTTTATTACAAAGTTAGATTTGTAATTTGGTTGCCATTAATCATGTTTATACAGATTTATTCATTATTACAAAGTAGTTTGGTTGCCACTATACATGTAAATTTATTCATAATTTTTTTTCCCAACTCTAATGCAGAATATATATATATATATATATTAACAAATTATCTCAAATCATAAAAAAAAAATGGACTATTTTACATATAAACTTATAATTGTATTCATATATATAATTTTTCAAAACAAAAACAAAACAGTCTTTACCAAATAGGTATTCTGCTATTGATTCAGAATTTTTGATAACAAAACACTAATCCCAAACGTGTTTTGTTTTCGGATTCCTTAAAACGCATAACAATACCAAACGCGTTATCATGTTTCTGATATACAATTATCAAAAACAAAACAATCGTTACGAAATATGGATCCAATTTCTACTAAAAACATACCAATACCAAAACGGTTGTTTTCATATCATACCAAACCATAACATATAACGTTATCGCCATTCAAACGGACCCTAAAGAGTCAAGCACTCAATATCTGGTATGCTGTGAAAAGGTCTGTACACCATTACACTGTTAAATATGAAAAGGTTCTTCACATCCACATGAACCAGATGGATGATCAACTTTTAGACAACTGCAACAAACTGATATAAAGCAAACCTCAGATTTGATTCAATCCGATGTCAAATCTCCGAAACAGCATTCCTGGCCTACCCAGTGCAATCGATTATCATATTCTCATGCACATTCTCATAACCTTAAAGATCACCAAGTCTTCTCAACCACAAATTTCTAGGAATGGGATGCCTGATTTACTTCTTGCTTGCTTTTACTCTTCTTTACTTTTAATTTAAACCGATACTTCGTGAGAAGTGCCTGCACTGTGTTTGCAAAATTCCCAACTGCCATAGTTATCAAAAGAATTCCACAGGTAACTACCTGCCAAAAGCACATTTTGTAATCAAATTAAGTTCAATATTAGTATTGGTGAGACTATGATGGTTAATTACTTGTTAGGTATTGAAATGGGAAGAGAAAAAATAAAAAATCAGAAGCTCAAGTGCATAACAGAAATAAAAAAAAAAACACCCAAAAAACAACTCTCCTAGCATTCAGATAATAATTACAATTTACTACTCACCTGCCACTCGGAAACAACACCGTCCAGTGCAGTTTTGAGTAACAACATTCCAACATAGCCTTCAAAACCCTGAAATCAAGTGCATGTCCACAAATACAACTTTGATTTAGCTCAGATCCTTGTGGCAACATGTAATTTTCATCTTATATTCTATTTTTAGCAAAATGAAAGTAAACAACTCATTGAGGTGGCCAATTACTGAAAATGACAGTGTACAGCTAATAAGCACATGCAAGGCCAAAGAAGCAGTGAAGTTTTTCAACAATCCTATTGGCACCCTCTTTAGACTCAATTTGGTTTGTTAATTTAGTGAGACAGAAGAAAAGATGACATAATTATTTAGTTACCATGGACATAGATCCAAACATATAAATTGGAGTGAATCCAGCAGTAGAGCAAAGCTATTATCTCAAAAAATAGACACAACATACTGAGAAAATTAATGGAGATAGAATGTTACATGTCATTTTCCTTGTATTTTCCTTTAATCCTAATCATCTCTTTAAATTTTTTTAATTTCTAGTATCATGATAGAAAAAACAAGTGCATTTGTTTTTTTCCTTTCCTTTTGTTTCCCCTTTTTTTGTCTCATTAAATATGCAAGATCAACAAAAAATTTATTAATTTTGTTCCTAAGTCATGCAATTTTTCTTCTTGTTCAATTAAGGTCATCTAATTAAAGTTAAGACAGCCCTTAAAACAAACAAATTTCTCAATATCACAATGACATTTCCAAAATATTGTTTCAGGCATCATTGCTATATGTTTAAAACGGTGGCATCCGTTTAATTCAGCAAGTCTTACATATTTCTATTTTCTTGCTATGGAAAATGAGGATTCTATTAATGGAGCATCGATGCCATAGGCTCATAGTGAAGTGTATCCTGTGAAAATATAAGGATCTAATGGTGATTAGAAAAAAAAAAAAAAAAAAACTGAATTGCCTTTCAATTAATTAATGAAAATTGGCATCTGTTTAATTCAGCAAGTCCGACATATTTCTATTTTTTTTTTGGAAAGTAAAAAAAAAAAAGAAATAGAAATATGGAAAATGAGGATTCTACTAATGGAGCATCGATGCCGTAGGCTCATAGTGAAGTGTATCCTATGAAAATATAAGGATCTAATGGTGATTAAAAAAAAATTGAATTGCCTTTCAATTAATGAAAATTGTTGTGTGGGGTTGCAAGAACTTTATTTAAATAAGAACTACACAGACTACATATCAATTCTGCATCCCAGATTCTACTAAAGTGTATTTCTTAATACAGAAACTTGTATTGTAATAGTGCCGATTATGTCCTCACATCTGAATTGGCATACTTTACCACCTTGTGTTAGCTGGGGTGAAAAAATTTCCACTTTCAAAAGAGGAAGTTGAGTTTTTTTTTTTTTTTGATAAGTAATAATAACATAAAAAGGCATTCAAAAGGGAAACGCGTCCCTTATACAAAAGTGGAATTGGGGCTAAGGCCCCAAAGAATCCAAAAAAACAATTAAATCATCAGAAGAGGATCCTCTTCACGTAATTGAAAAGAGAACAAAGAATGTGAAGTTTCAACATTGCCGTAGACAACTCTTTCCCTTCGAACATTCTACTATTTCTCTCCTTCCAAATGCACCACCAAATACAATGCGGGACAATTCTCCGAAATCGCGTACATCCCTTCTCACACGACATCCTCTCCAACCATGAATCAATTCCTTAGTAGATCGTGGCATTACCTAACGCATGCCAAACAACCAAAGAATAAGATTCCAACAGTCGTTCGCCACAGGACAATACGTAAGGAGGTGATCAACGGACTCCCCATCTTTCTTGCATAGACAACACCAATTAACAATACAATTGCCCCTTCTCCTTGAGTTGTCAATTGTCAGAATCTTTCCCAAAACAGCGGTCCGGACAAAGAAAACCACCCTAGTTGGAGCCATGGATCGCCAAATAGTCTTCCATGGGAAGTCACGATTATTAAAATTAGACAGACATAAGAACAAGGATCTTACTTTGAAACGACCGTGGGATGATGGAAACCAAATCAAATCATCATTATCTCTGCCAACACCCTCTTGCCGATACAAAAGATCCAGAAAAACACATACCTCATCCAACTCCCAATCCTAAAAAGAACGCCGAAAGTGCACATCCCACGTAATCCCACTGCTATCAAGCCGATAACAATCAGCTACGTAGGCGTGTTTATCAACTGCAATACTGAATAATCTAGGAAATGTACGAAATAATGGCTGATCACCACACCAAAGATCTTCCCAAAGACGAGCGCGACGTCCATAACGGACTTTGAATCTGATATGAGCAGAAAAGGCACTTCATCCCTTCCGAATAGACTTCCACATCCCTACTCCTCCCACAAGGGAAACCAGACGTGTAGACCAACCTCCAACCTCTGCCCCAAACTGACAAGAGACTAACATGCGCCAAGGACGATGTTTTTCCCTCCCATATCTCCATAACAATTTACCTAGGAGAGCTTGATTGAAAGGAACTAATTGTCTTATGCCAAGACACCCAATTTCATTGGCTTGCAAACTTGCTCCCATCTGACAAGGTGATACTTGAACTCATCACCCCTTCCTCCCCATAGGAAGTCCTTTCGAATTTTTTCAATCCTATCCGCAATGGAGCAAGGGATTTGGAACATAGAAAGAAAATAAGTGGGGAGGCTCGATAATGTACTCTTAATAAGAGTAACTTTACCCCCCTTGGACAAGTATTACTTTTTCCATCCTGCCAATCTCTTCGCATACCTGTCAATCACTGAATCCCAACTATCCTTGAAGAGACCCCTAGGGCCAACCCAAATAAGGAATAGGGAAAGAACTCACCCTACATCCAAGAACTGCAGCTAAAGAGGAAATATCCTGAACATTCCCTACTGGGACAAGCACACTCTTAGCCACATTGACCTTTAGCCCGGAAACCGCCTAAAAACAAGCTAGGATGCACCTCAAATATCGGAGTTGAAACACATCAGAATCACAGAAAACCAGGGCATCATCTGCAAAAAGTAAATGAGAGATCTCCATCTGATGGACTGAATCTCTACCCACCCTGAATCCCTTAATAAAACCAAGGTCCTCTGCCCTGCGCATGAGTTTGCTTAAACCCTTCATAACAAGAAGAAAACGGAAATATGACAAAGGATCACCTTGTCTTATACCCCGAGTGCAACCAAAGAAACCAGCGGGAGAACCATTCACAAGAATTGAAAACCTGGCAGACGAAAGACAAGTCTCAATCCACTTCCTCCATTTACTTCCAAACCCCATTTTTTGTAACAAATAGAGTAGGAAATTCCAGTTCATATGATCGTACGCTTTCTTAATATCAAGTTTGCATAATACTCAATCTGAATTCCACACATTCGCCAACAATAACAACTGAATCAAGAATTTACTGTCCTCCAACAAAAGCGTTCTGGGAGTTCGAGATAATCCCATCCATTACTTCCCTCATCCTTAGAGCAAGCACCTTAGCAATAAGTTTGTAAATACAGCCCACCAAACTAATTGGACGGAAATCCTTTATGTCAGAAGCGCCTCCCTTCTAGGGATAAGGGCAATAAATGAAGCATTAAGCGACTTCTCAAAAACGCTAGTAGAATGAAACTGCTGAAAAGTACCCATTACCTAATCTCTTACTACCGCCCAACTTTCCATCAAAAAACGCATAGTAAAACCGTCAAGCCCCGAAGCTTTGTCCCCATTACAACTTGATAAAGCCTTTACAACTTCTTCTTTAGTAAAAAGATTCTCAATCCTATCTCTATCCAGCTCAGAATAGCCTCAAAATGGAGACCATCAAGTTTGGGCTTCCAAACTAATGGCTCGGTATAAAGCTTCTGATAAAAAGAAGCAATCCCGTTACGCACCTCTTCCTCCCTCCACAACTCCACATCTTCCACCCGAATTGTTCCTATATGATTACTCCTCCTATGAGCATTAGCTAATCTGTGGAAGAATTTTGTGTTCCGATCTCCTTCTTTTAGCCAGAGAGCCCGGGACTTTTGTCGCCACGAAATCTCCTCCATGCTAGCAATCTCAGCAAGAATAGCCTGACAAGAAGCTCTCCTAGAACGTAGAGACTCCACATCCCCTCTCGCCTCCTCAAGATGATCAATCTCGGAAAAATCAGCAAGGACTCTGTTCTTCCCCTATTCCAGATTCCCAAAAACATCCTTGTTCCACTGCTTAAAAGTAAATTTGAGAGCTCTTAACTTCTTTGTTATAGTGAAACTGGGCGAACCTGAAACAATAACTCCCTCCCACCAAAATCTGACTTTCCCTTGGCAATCCTCCACTTGCAGCCACAATTCTCAAATCTAAACGGGGATCTTCGAGAACACAAACACTCACAATCCAAGACCAAAGGAACATTATCAGAAGTGACCCTTGCTAACACCGATTGAACGAAATCCGGGAATTTCTCTTCCCACTCCCCAGAAATTAAAAATCTGTCCAGTCTTGAAAGAGTGATTGGATCCCTACCATTTGACCAAGTATAGGCTGCACCTTCCATTGGTAAGTCAACAAGAAAATGCTCATCAATAAAATCAGAAAATTGATCCATTTCCAAGGGCCTTCTTCCCCCTGTAGACCTCTCTGACAGGGACCTGACATAATTGAAATTCCCTCCCAAGCACCAAGGGAGAGACCACAATCCTTGGGCATGGCTAAGCTCCTCCCAGAAAATAGGTCGCTCGTTATCAACAACTGGTCCATAGACTCCAGTAAAAACCCATCTGAAATTGTCCTCTTCAATCTTAAACACACAAGACACTGAAAATCTCCCCAACCACACGTCCGTTCTAGATAACCATCTGCTGTCCCACATGACTAAGATCCCACCCGAAGTACCTATAGCATTCAAGGCCTCCCATTTCACAAACCTTCCTCCCCACAAACTCCTAACCACCCCGTCAGAAATGGATGCCAGCTTGGTTTCTTGTAAACAAACAACTTGGGCACCCCACTTCCTTAAAGCAACCTTCACCACCCTCTTCTTGTTCGAATCATTGAGACCACGAACATTTCATGTAATGATTCGTAGCTTCATTAAAAACCAGATAAAATTATCTCCCCTCCTCCCTTCCTAAAACTCCTACTCCTGGTCCTTCCCTTTTCCTTCACCACTCCTCTCTTCCCTTCGTATTTAACTTCAGAGATGAGATTATTTATCTCCTATGCCCCTTTTCCAGGACGATAAGGGCCTCGTGTTCATAACTTCATTGGTCACTGCAACCTCTCTCCCTTCCACAATTGCTTGAAGGATAGATAATGTCTGATCATCATTACCTTCTGAAGAGACTCCCAACAACTCACTAGTGACTCCAATATTGTCAACTACCCAATCTTTCCCCATATCAGCAACCAATAGGATAAGTCATTGGCATTTTTTGGACAGCATGGCTTCCTTTGGGATTCAAACTCATTTTTTCATGCTTGACAGCCTAAGCATTTTACCACTGCACTGGGCAGAAAGATTGGATACATTGTATGTGTGTACTAATTACTAAGGTAAGTAGAAAAAAAAAGAAAGAGAAGAAACTAGCATTGTTGGATCAAACTATAGAAGAATAATAATTTAACTGCAATTTTACACGTGGAAAGAAAATAAAAAAAATGTAATTTTGTTGGCTTACAACTATGGATCTTGACAATAAGAAAACTTTACTTTCTAAGAATATTTATGAATTCAACAATCTTGATTGAAGTCTTTTTTTCTCTCTGTCTTCTTCCTTTAACTTCTACATCATTTCCACGATACAGCATAAATTGAACAATTTACTTTTTTTGTGTCTGACCGGTTGAGAGTTCATTAAGAAACCTTAAGCAAACTTTGTATTCATGATCTAAACAAAAGCCATTAATGCAACTAAAATCACCTGCAGGATGAACAGTATGGGGCACAGCAGCAATAATTGACCATCTACTCCAGCAGTCTCTCCCCACACTACATCCATTCTCCTGGCCTATGATCAATAACAAGAGGATACAAAAATAAGAACCTGTCCGAGGGAGAGAAGGGAGAGAGAGAGAGAGAGGGGGGTGGGGGGGGGGGGGGGGGGAGACTGACTAATTGCATGCACAAAATTACATTGGTGAAGTAAGTAACCAAATAATTGCACCTTGCCCAGCGCAATGCGTGTATATAGTCTTTGTCGTTGGTATCTATTCTGTAGAAGCATTGCAACTCCTTGCATGATAGCCCATTGCAGGAACAGTTTTACCCCTCTCTGCACGGAACATTTATTGCCTCAATCATAATGAAAGTGAAATAAATGCAATGAATACTTAGAATATGTCAATATGATAACCTGCTTCTGGGCACAATCAGGTTGCCCTTCTATCTCCCAGGTGAGACTAATGAGTGCCGTGGTCATAGCACAGTAGTGATGGTATATCCACCTGCAAAAGCACAATTAGGATGCATTAAGATATTCTGCTGATACTAGGTGTATCAATCAAGGGGTTTCAGATAAAAATCACACAAGATAGAAAATTATACTCAATTACCATGGACGAATATCACTTCCATTCACTCTTAATATGTTCCCTCGTAAAGCCAAACCTGTGTAGAGAAATAACAACCAGGCCTGAAAAGGGTATGCTCAGTATGCTTCTAATTGAGAAATGAAGAGAGAAGATTCAATATGAGAGAGCAAAATTTGCTTCCAACTATAGAGTACCAGGTAGAGCTGAACCGGAAATGCAGGTAAGCATCCATCCCAAATCCACGACCTTAACACGAGTAGCAGTGATGGGAAAAAAAGAAATAAAAGCGCAGTTCTATCCTGTCCACAAGATATAGTCAATTATGAATACAATAACGTTTTAACAATCCCCAATACTACTTTTTAACGAGTAATAAAATTTATGAAGAGATCTGTTTAACAATAGCACGAGCACATAGTGAGGATACCAAGAAGCAAATCCACATTTATCCTAATCTCATACTTCTCTAAAATTCGGCTACTACACCACCAGTAATTCAGTTAATACGGCCACTAAATAAGCATTGTTAATTGTTTTGTATGTCTCTTGCATCAAAATAATCTAAGTTTTCCAATGTTGTGCGTATCTTATCCAACGTTTTTCCAATATTGCCATAGTCATAGAAGGCATATATGAAAAGAAAACACTTAAGGCATCATATAAGAATCAACTTGATATATTAGTAACTGTGAAATTAAAAAATTTCTAAGCACAAAGTTATAATCTTGATCAATATAAAGAGCTTCAAAATTTTGGCAGAAGGTCTAGAACCATACTCTGAATCTATTGTACTCCTGTTTTACTTTGAATTTAACCTCCTTGCGACTGGCACGCACATCAATTGGACCAAGAAACATCCTCAATAACACTCCTGTCATCACAAACTAATCATGCAATCAACACAATCTAAAAATACAAATCAAACCCAGAAAAATAAACCACAAATCAATGAAACCCACCATGAGATTTGCTCGGAAGAAATGCAGCCGCATCTCCTTCACTCAATATGTAACTCGCTCTGTATAACTCTTCTTCTAGCTAAAGAACACAAATCAGAACCAAACACAATCTCTCATTTACAAAACCTAAATACAACACATTCAACTACTAAATATATATATAATGTATAGATAGATGTAGAGAGAGAGATTTGCTTTTACCTTTTTGGGTTCTGTTAAGTTGCATTTCTTGAGTTTGTTGATGTTGGAATCGAGAGAGAGGGCTTGTTGGCGGAGAGCTTCTTCTTCGCGTGATGTTCTTGCAATGAAGGATGCAGCTGAGTCCTGTAACTCTCTGGCTAAATCGACGACTCTACAAACTTCTTCGGCCATGGTTGTATGCGAGTTCTCGCCGGCCGTCGTGGAGTCGCCCATCGCCGACCGATTCAATGAGATAACGATGATCGATCGATCGATCGATTCCTCAATGACCTACCAGGTCATATATGTATCGAGATATATATATATAAGCATATGTGTATATGTGTTGATGTATATATTGTTAATGGAGCTTTGACAACGAATACTAGGAAATGAATTCAGGGGGGTTGCTTGTTGACGGCAAGCCCAGGAAACGAATCTGTGTTTTTTTAGTCTTCATTCGACGGCCCACCTCTCTCACGTGCGAACAACTACCGACTCCCCAGTCTCACGTGTTTCCAGATGGGACCAGACCACTAAAATGAAGATAATAACCATAACACTGTTGTCGTGACAAGCATCCCCGAATTGACAACAGTGTTTGGTTCCATCCGTTTGTGGTGGCATTCAGTAACGGGTTAGTACTTTACGGTGCGATTTAAAAGTTGTTTAAACTATGGGAAATGATGATATTTTCAACAACTTTTTTTTACCCATTTTGTACCGACCGACTAACGTGGCGGGACACGTTCAACCTCCCTCTTTATGTCAAACTCTCCTCTTTGTTCCTCAATGTTTTAGCACAAATTTGAAACACTAAATATCTCAAACTCTCTCGCCCCTCTTCTCTCTCGTTCTCTCACACGGCATTCCCAATTTATTTCGCACACATTTAGACCCCAAACTCCTGTGTCTCTGCAGTGTTCTCTCTAATTCACTCACACTCCATTCCTTTTTTCTTTTCTTTTTTTTCCGTATAAATTTGTAACCGAACTTTAATCTCTCACCTCATTATCTCACTTCATTCTCCAGTGTAAAATTTAGGACTGAAAATTCAAAATCTTAAACGTCATGCTCCAAAATCTTAAATACATGAACTCTTGTCTTGTATTAAGATTTGGCACGACTTTCTTTACGTAACCCCAACTTTACAGAAAAAAAATAATAATAATCAAATAAAGTAATAAATGTAAATCTTCCTCTAATTTATAAAATTAGTACAACCATAATAGTAATCGACCTTGTCAAAAATAATCCATGATAACTGGACAAACTGAACTAAATCTCAAAAAAAAAAAAATATATCGTCATTCTTATTACAATGATCCCAACAATGAAAAAATTGAATTAAACCAAAGAATACGAAAAGCTAGCTAAAATCCATCGCCATCCCATCATGTTCCTACTCAACGTGTACCTGAAATGTGATAATGGAGTGAGCTCACAAGCTCAGCAATAAATGTTAAACACAATCATCGTTTAGCAAATTAACATTACCTTATATTTCCATATATATGAGCAACTCAATAAATGCATTAATAAAATAAATTACTTAACTCTAGTTAATTATAAGGGAAAATTATATTTTGGTGACCAAAATTAAACATAATTACTATATAGTGACCTTAAAGTCAAGAAAAGGTGAATAGTGACCAATCTTGAAACTTAATTGATCTTAAGTGACCATTTAAGGATAATTTAGTCAAAAACACTTAAAAGTTAAATAAACATTTTTAAAATAAATTTTAGATGACAAAATTGCCATCCAATATAAATAATAAGTCATTAAATTCATCCTCCTTTTACTCTCTCTCTCTCTAATCCAACGTTTTCTTTTTTTCCTTTTTAGTTTATAATTTACCAATTTAAAAAATTAAGATTTCTTTACCAACATTATCTTTTTTTCACCCTTTATCTATTTTTTAAGACTCTCAACCATCTAATATTTTCCTTTTTAGTTTACAATTTACCAATTTAAAAAATTAAAATTTCTTTATCAACATTACCTCTTTTCCATCCTTTATTTATTTTTCAAGGCTCTCTAACATGAACGCTCATAACATTTACAGTGGCAAATCATACTTTTGAAACACCCTTTAACAGTTAGTAAAATTATGAAATTAATCAACAATAGCCATTATTCCTTGAACTATAACTAAGTAGTATTAAAAATTCATAAAACTTACAATCTTATATCTTAAGGAAGATCTCTCAGACAAATCAACTCGTAAAGTATAATAACTATACCTTGAAAATAATGAATAAGAAGAAAATTTACAATTTTCTTGTCATGTCTCTTAGAATCTTGAAGAAAATGATGTATAATATCCATCATCAGTTCTCTCCCATCTTGATCTTCTCTTCAGAGACTCACCCTAATAATCTGTTGTCTTTTTGTTAGTCAATTTAAGTAAGTGTTTGTTTAGGTTAATGTAGAGGGTAAATTTGTCTACTTACATAATAATATATTATAAGAAGGCTATTTAGGTAATAAACCATCAAATGGCCATTTAATATTAATTAAGTTTCAAAATTGGTCACTATTCACCTTTTCTTGACTTTAAGGTCACTATATAGCAATTATGTTTAATTTTGGTCACCAAAATATAATTTTACCTAATTATAAACTTATTAATTAACCATCATTTACTGTTATTAAATTCACATATCTCGCATGATCCCTGGGCTTCCCTCAAACGGTTGGTTGTTTTGTTGCCATTATCTCACATGAGCCCCTGGCTCCACTCCAAATAAATGATGTGAATTGCATAGTCCCTAACTACCAAATACACACATGTGGCTGGATGGTACGTCTACTCATCCAGATGGCCTCTGACCACGTCCATATAATAATAAAAGGGTAGTGCACTCCCAAATAGGTAGGTCCCTGACCATACCCAAAAGTCATCATAGGGTCAGTCCCTGACTACCCCTCCGACTAATCTAAACTCATCAATTAATTATTAATACACTTAAATACACTTTTAATTTTAAAAGATAGAACCCTAAAGACTCAACTAGTGAGTGTACAAAATTTCTGGACATACCCTAACATTAGATATATGACCCTGCAAAAATTCAGAATCTATCTCTTAATAGTTTTTCTGTACTTTTAATTTTAGTGCTGAAAATAATACTTTTTTCAAGTTTTATTTCAGTTATACCATCTAGACATCATCTAAAAATCAGAATTGCATCACAGTTGTGTTCAATATGATAAAAAAGAGTAAACTAGAATATTCTGTAATTTTTGAAATATAATTACAATTTTTCCTAATTTATTTAATGCAAAATACTTAAAAATCAACTAAAAATAACATTTAATTTTGAACACAAGAGTGAACCTCCAAAAATAACAGATTTAGAAAGTAACACATCTAGTCTGAATCCAATTCATTCAAAATTCATATGAGGTAGGCCACACTCTCTCCCATTCACTTGCCCTATAATTTGGCTTACACAAACCCACTAACATACCAATTTGATTTTCATGCCCAAAACTTGGTAACAAACCAAAATTATGGAAGTCAATATATTTCCATGTCATCTAACCCAATCGCAGGCCTACAATCACGTCACAAGATTCATTCTCAAAATTATCTAGATAAAAATATATTTAATTCAATCTATAGATAAATATAGATAGCACCTGTTACAGAGAGGTAAAATTTATAAATCAATTTCTATGATGAAGATATGCAAGTACCCAATAGAGTGCATGTGGTAAAATGTACACTAGAACCCATACGTATATATAATTAGATCCAACACAGTTACATCTACAACTCCATATTATACTTTATTTAAATACCAAAAAGTGAGTAGCAACCACATAGTAATCTACTAATCAGGTTCATATATTCAATAATCATAGATTTACATCAAACAATCGACTAAAATACGCTAGAACATTCTAAATTAATTCTCTATGATTTTTATAAATCAAGTTGTAAACATATATAAAAATATAAAACAAGATTAACTTGCCTGGAAAATGCTAATCCTTCTTTTTTACGCAAACGCCCAACCACCGTCCCTTTTTTCGGCTACTGCCGAAGACACAACGTCAAATCTCCTTATCTCTATTGCTCTCCTTTTTTTTTTCTTTTTTCTTTTTTAATAGAATATCGTATGTTTTCTCTTACTACTGATATAACGTGTAAAATATAAATAAAGTGATAAATAGTAGTTGAGATAATCTAGAATTCCTTCAAATTTAAAAGACAATCCCTTATCTCAAGTATTCATTAATTAAATAATGATACAGATATATATAAAAATATAATTATACATAAATTACGGGTATTATATTAAAAATTAAGATCTGAAAGGAAGGGAAACAAGAGCAGTTTCACATATCAAACAAAACAAAACAATATATATATACACACACATTCAGAAAAATCATATAATATTTTACATAAACTTAAATTCAAATCAAATTGAGAGGCTGTTTTTGTTGGTTGTAATTCAATGATTATTCCAGTTATTATGTTGTTTTAGACGATCCTGTTTGTTTTCATGGAAGTTCAATTAGGGTAAAGAAAGAAGAAACATGAAATAAAAATAAATAAATAAAAGAGGCATATAAGAGTTTCACCGTCATTTGACACATAGTCATCCATCATTTAACACGTATTCAGCCACGTAAAGAGTCACTAATTGTAGGTTTTTTTTATAGTCGGGCAAAATAGCATCACACTTAAACTATTATAGAGTGTTAATACTAAACTTATGTATATTAAATACTTTTTCATTTGAATTTAGTGTGGAATAAGACCCTCTAACATTCTCTTTCACTCGAGTTTGCTATGTCTTCGTTGCGGTCGGCCACCTTGCCTACCCTGTTTGGACTCGAGTACCTCTCGGGTGGACTAGCCCAGGCAGATGTTTAGCGGTGACACAAGATCAAGGATTGGATCTGATTCTGATTCTAAGGTCGGGAGCTTTACGATCGATGGTGCTAACACTCAATCCATATATACCCAATCACTTTTGTGAGATATAATTTTTGTAATTGGCAAATTTCGATAGCAAAACAAGTCAGATTGAGTTGTAATTTCAAATTCAAAATTCAAGATAGAGATCGGCTGCTGAATTGAAAAGTTGTTCAGGTTTGATATACTGAGCTCTACGAAAAAGGAATGAACAACACATTAGGAAGATGAGTTTTAAGGTTAGGACATTATTCATACTTGGTATAGGTTTTCCAACTTACCAAAACAAGTGTCAGGCTTTCACAAGTTCAAGATTGGCCATTTTGAACAGGTTCAAACTTTTTGGAACTGGTTCAAGAATTAAACAATTGCTTCGAAATTTCATTAGCCATCTTGAACCAGTTCAGCTTTCTTTGAACCAGTTCAAGGGTTTCAGCATGGTTTGGTAACTTAGTTTCTTGTTCTGATTTTTCTTCCTAATTGGTTTAGAATTCTTCCAAACATCCTATGCACCAAAATTACCTTTTCCTATGCATATCTAGGTCTTTGAAAATTTTATATAAACCTTGATTTTCATCTAGGTTGATACGGTTTTTGCATTACATCTTCAGATTTCTAAAAAGCCTATTAGAGAGATATTTTTGTAAAAAATCAAAGTTGATTTTTCTGTCTTTCTTTCTAGAACATACACATAAACACAAAAGCGAGTTTAGAGTGTTGTTCAAATCCTGATAGTGATCAAAGTAATTTGAATCTTGCATCTACAATGATCAGAGAAAGCAAATCTACTTCTTTTACATCAAATTCAAATATTGAAGAACAGAGGTGAAACGAGCACCATTTGAAAGGGTTAAAGCATTCAAGGAGTGTTGTTTGATCTACCCGCAATCCTTCTATAGAGATCAATAGTGAGCCTGAGGTCAAGAGCTATTGGATGGGACGTCGCAAAGCTAGAAGATTGTCAGCGATTGATGTTTGGTAGAACGATAGGGTGTGAGCCTGTGTCAAAGTCCGTTATAGTTTGTTTCAAATATAGTGAATCGGTTTACTTTGGACTGCACAGTCCACGAGGTTTTCCCGCAAATAGTTAGTCTATTATACCAATTGGGGTTTTCTTGTTAAAAATCTTGGTGTCATTTATAACTCTATTACCTTACTTTATTTTTTTATTGCATGAAATTAATTGATTAATTGCTACAATAAATAAAGTTAGAAAGACACAGATCTGTTTTTAAAATACAAAACTTTCTACGCAAGTAAAGGCCCGTTCGGTATGCGTTGTGTTCCCGGGCGTTTTATTTTAGCCTAGAATAGAACAAGTGTTTTGTAATAGAGTATTCTGAGATGAGAACAAAGCATGTTTGGCGACGAAAATTTGCAGTGAGAATTTTGGAACAGAAACATGGTAGAACATGTTTAGTAAGGTATTTCGTTTCAAGAAATATGAGAACAAAACATGTTTGGCAGAGTGAAAGTGTAACCAAAATCACTGAAACTGCGATACCCCTCATTTCTAGAGCCACGGGTGATCAAGTCCGAGTACAGATCCGAGGGATACCAAACAATCAATATGTAAACAAGCAGGAATAAAAACTGAATTAAGATTAAAATAATAATAAACAGAAAGAAATCTAAAATGAAATCCTCAAACCTTAAATAATAAATTAATATAATTTAAATCCGTACAACTCGGGAATCCACCTAGTGGACCCCTAACTCCAAATCTTTAAATAAATTTATAGAATTAAAATCCAAAACCAAAATAGAAAAGAAACCTTATGTAACCAGAAAAGTGAGTGTCTGTATCTGCATCAACACGATCAAACTCTAATCTTGGTACTGGCAAATACCTGAAAAATAGGAGTGGGTCAGGCCCACATGCAAGTTCCAATCTACTACAATCCGTACATAAACCCGATACGCAAATACATCCTAGATAGCTCGACAATATCTACAATAGTCCATATATATACATATATACACACTATAGGATGCTCACTAGCCTATAACATAGTTCAGTCTGGGTAGAAGGTGGCATATAAAACACGCTTTTCAGCGGCCAAGTACCTAGACCTACTAGGGAACATTAGCTATATCTAGCTACTCAACTTTTACAATATACGCACCCTAACCATGATCAGGAGACTCAAGCTCGTATCACGGTACCATAAATATATATATAAATTCCTTCCTAGTGCAGAAAGATAAAACAAATATCCATTATGTCGTTCAACTATTTTAATTGACAGGACATGCATCCATGTAGGATTTAACTATTTTAGTTAATCCATTCCTTATGTATGAAGGGGTAGGACTTAACTTTTTGATCTAATCTATCCCTGATATGTCACCGTCTCATACCGGTACATATAAATGCAAATGATCCTTGAATGATGCAACATTTTATGCAGTTCATCAAATCATATCCACGTAATCCAAATAGTTGATATACAGAATTTAAACAGTTCATGAACTTGAAAATTCAGAATCCATCTATATAATTAACGAGACAAAGTTTAATAGTTCATCAAGTTAAGATCCAGTATTCATCCATGTCATTGACAATTTAATTCATTTAATTAAATTTCAACTAACCCATAATACAGTCCAGCAGTTGACAATATTAACAATAGTAAGAGTCAATTATAAAGCTGAGAATGACAAACTATAACTTAGAAAATCCACAGTACTAACCAATAGTTGCTGAAACATATAGAACAGTTTAACCATTAAAATAACAATCTCAATTTAATTAATGAAACCTAATTTATTAGTTCCTTAATTAAAATCCAACCTATGCATAAATAAGGTCCAAAAGATACATAACCCTATTCTATATCTAACATAGATTTCAAAACCATCCTCCAGTCATCTAAGTTGCTAAATTAAATTCACACAATTAGATACTTTACAATCGCCAACAAAGTGCGTCATTACTTAAAACTCCTACACTATGAAAACCCTTAGCATATTAGGATAAATTATGCATTGTGGGTCCTAATATAGCATAATATCATGTTTAGATTCCATGCAACAGTCCGTCAATTTTTTTAAAACAAAACTTAGCGCACTAGTCCTTCCTATCCGTTAGCGGCGTACAAAGTCGCTTATTTTTACACTATTTATTCCATTTGCCCTATGGACCAAAATATACAATTAGAGGAACTAAAATCCCTTGAAATTACTTTTAGAATTCTCATTCCAGTCCCTGAAACCATTTAGAATTTCAAACATGGCCCAAACAGTGCCCAAACAGCTCCATAATGCATCCAAACGTGACTTAACCAAGGGAGCCTGCTCTAAAATCAAAGAGCAGGCTCTTTCTCACTTAGAGCCGGCTCTTTAAAGGTGGAGACGGCTCCCACAAATCTGGAGCCTTCTCCTCCCACTTTGAGCCTTCTCCACTCCTCTGCTTCACCTTCTTCTTCCACGGTGATCTTCAACCTTCTGTTCCCAGTTTTTTTCTAACGTTTTTAGAGTTCAAACAAGGTCTAAACAGCCCTAGAAATTCTTTGAATTCCATTATAAATTGATTTACAGAGGTTTAAATCCAAATCGAAGTAGTCTATACAAGGAAGCAAACAAAGTTATACACAAAACGTAGAACAGATTTCAATTTGATTCATTACGCATAAACACTTGTTTTAAAGTTTATTACATCCCTGGAGTCTATTTTGAATGCACAGAACACAAGTTTATAGGAAAGGAATAGACTGAAACTTGCCTCACGATTCCAGTTTGAAACCTTAAGCGTTGTCTTTAAGTTTCAGAATTCTCCAAGTCTATTTCCCCTCTGCTCTACTCACAGTTCCCTTCCTCTATTGCTTCTTGGTTCTATCCAGAAGCAACCCCTCTGTTCTTCCTCCAGTTTTCCTCCTTTAGCCTCACATGAAAATCACCCGAGACCCTCTCTGTTTCTCTCAAGACCACTCTAGAGCCTCTGTTTTCCTTCTCACAAATATTACGTGAGTAGGATTGTTCCCAACTTTAGCAGACTTAAAAGAAAATATATATAGACGTTCCAAACCCTAATCTGCGTAACTCTATATCTACCGGGTTTAATTTAAAACCTAATATAAATCTGCGTCCATATTATATAAAAAATAAAACCCTAATCCTATATCATATACAAGACCAAATAAAACAATTAATTTAGACAACTAAACAATTAAAATTAAACAATTACTTTAAAACAAATACACAATTAAAATTAAACAATTACTTTAAAACAAATAAACAAGTAATTTAGAATCAAGAACAAATACACAATTAATTTAAAATAAAGAAACAATTAACCAATTACGGAAATGAGCACATAAATCACATAATGAAATAAAAATGCAATAAAATCAAATTTAAATTCTCATTGTATCCTTTTGAAAACTACGGGTATTACAGAAACAAAAACATGAAATATGTTTGGTAAAGAGTATTTTCAATTTGTTTTCATCAATACATTATTTATTACTTTATTAAATATGAAGTAAAATTTTATTATTGTATTTTATTATACAATTGATATAACTTTTAATATTTTTATTTTTATAGTTTATTTTAGTTTATTAAGTTTTAGTTTACAATATTTTTTAACTAATCTATAAAAATCAATAAAATATATTATAAATTGTAAAACCTATGAATTCTGGATATTGTTTTGACAATTGTAGAAGACATTGTTTCAATATCTAACTGAAATAAACTTTCAACATATTATACATTACATGAGTTTGAAGATATTACAGACATGAGTTTCATAAATATTACATCACTTGTCAACACTTGTCAACAGGCACAATAAAAGTATCTAAGTAAAATTGAATAAATATAATACATCATTAGTTAACAGCCACAATAACCAACAACAACAATATGAGCAATAACATAAATAATATAGTTATAATAAGACAACAACATCCACCATATACAATGTAGTTTTGCCTATTTTGTTGAGCTTGCATAACAGCAACTACATCCTCCAACTCTTGATACACATGACCACCCATTTGCAGATGTGGGTGCATGTCATCCAACCATATAAATGAACGAGCATGTGACTAAAACATCAAATACTTGTATATTATTATAATGTCCCTGTGACAATAACATGTACATATGAAAAATTATTAATGCAAAGTATTGTATACCCCTCAAACTGGACATCTATAGAATGAACGTCCATAATTATTTGAAGTTCCAGCCATATAAAGATTCATTTGACCTCTTCCACATACACAAGGTGGTTCGTCACCCTGTATCTCATACATAACTACACATACAAGTGATAAAATGTGTAATGTATACTTGGCACAAGTTATTACATTTATCCAAATCATAAAAGAGAGTTAAAACAAAGTAGTTATTACAGTTATCTAAATTCTATAAAAGAGTTAAAATGAAGCAGTTATTATAGTTATCCAAACATGATAAACATCTAAATGCAATTTCAAGGTGTTGAATTGTATTCCATATACTAAATAAGAAATAAAAGCAACATACCAAATAATATTGTCATTACAATCATCCCAAACCAAATACTAGTGTACTTAATATTACAATCATCTAAAGTCATAGCAAAACTAAATAAGAAATAAAGGCAACACACCAAATAAAGTATAGTTAATAATATAGTCATCCAAAGTCATAATAAAAGCAACACACCAAATCAAAGATTCATGATCCAACCAACCCTCTTATCATCAGGAAAGTCATTCAGAAAGAAATCCCTCCAAATTTATCACTACGTAACATCTGGGTGACCTTAGCATATTGTTTCATATCAACGCCCTCCAACTGATTCAAAATACTACAACATAACTTAAAATCACCTTTTGTCTTGTCTTGTTTTGCGAAGAATTTATTTCAACCTGAAATTCGTCATGGAATGTTTTCATATTAGATGATGAAGCTTCTTTTATGGCCTTTTCAATTTGATTAGCTTTCATGTTAGCATTGTCTTTCATTTTATCTATGACATCGCTTATTGTGAAGGCAAAACTCTCTTTCTTTAGTTTCTTACCACGAGGTTCATGAGAGGGACTGATCTTATGACTGTCTAATTCAGCTAAATCATCAATTTCAAATGAGCTATGTATGGCTACATGGTGTGAGGGGGCTTAGTTGATAATGGGTGGATTAGTCGAAGGATGGATATGTGCAGCTGTAGCGTGTGTGCCTCCAAATATGGTGGTGAGTTTGTCAAAATACTTACATCTCTTCTTTCGAAACTTACTTATATTTTTATTCACCTACAAATTATTAAAGTACTATTAATATTAAGTTAAGTCAACATTTGTAAAATTAACCTACATTTATTTGAATAACTAACATTTATCAACCTAGGACATATTTCATTTTTAACTATAACCATGCCCGTCTCAGCATTGTATCCCATGCCTGTTTCTGCTAACAAACTCAAAAAGTCTTTGTACTCTATCCTCAAGTGGTTGAATTTGCTCCTAAGTTATTTCGGTGCATACTTCTTCCCTGTATGGACCCTTATGCCTTCTGCTATATTCTTCAAACCAATTGTGTTAAAAGTTCCGGAAGTCCGATTACCAAGCCTCACTTCTTCCTCCATACGGATGATGAAAACTTCGAGATGAGAATCATCCTATACTAGTTTTGTATCATCAGTATTGTCTGTAAGGTCCTTTATTTCTGCTCCCACCACATTGTGACCATTAATATCCATCTAATTACATAGTTTTAATATGAATGGGTTAAAAGGGTCATTAACAAGTATGGTCTCATTAATCAAATTCACAAACTTATGTTTGATCATTCTAGCAATACACAAGTCAAGAAGTCATAGTGGGTGGATCATATATGCAAGTATCAACAACAAGAATAATAAATCTGTCAATACTTCCCCTAATAAACAAGATTTCATTACAAATTCAAGAAATGAAAGCAAATCACATATGCATAAAATATTGATAACTTTTTCTCTCTCTTATTTGTAACACATCAAGAGATTTGTTCAATGATTCTATATCTCATCATTTGCCACATTTTTTTTTTCCTAAATCAAATAATTATATTTTATTAGATGCCCTTTTTTTGTGCTGAGTTAATGTATCTTTAGTGCTAGTGCTAAATTAAAAAAGCCAAGGTTCGCATCTTTTTCACAATTCCAACATAAGCATGAAGACTTTCACAACATGACATCTCAAAATTCAAAACTTTCAAAAACATATATGTAATGAAAATAGTTTGGTAAAATTTAAACATCATATCTTAATTTTGAAGCACAATTCACATCACAATTCATGTTTTTAATTTCCATCTCAAAATGCATTTATAACAGCCATCCATTCATAGAAGATTTGACACAAACAACAGATATATATATATATATATATATATATATATATATATATATATATATATGACATCCAATAGCACAAAAACATTCCAACAAAAACAACACATCAACAAAATCCATTCAAAATGTCCATCCTCCTTTCACATATGCCCAAACTCCTCAACAAAAACAACAACAATACCGCCCAATCCTCCATTCACAAAATAACAACCTAACAAAACTCAATCACAGTCCCAAATTTTATTTTTGTCTCAGTTTATCTCAACAACAACATCACAGTATATTTCATTCAAGTCCCATAGTGCAAATTTGTTCAATTTCAGTCCATAGTGTTTTTTCAATTTTCTGTTTTTCAATTTGTTTTGATTTTTCAGTTTTCAATTTACAGAGAAGGTGCATATATATACAAAGATGAAATATAAAACAATATAAAATAAAAACAAAAATTAAAAATAAAATTAAAAATAAAATTAAAAGAAAACTCAACATACCCGAGATGAGAGAGATAAAGAAATATAGAGAGAGAGCTTGGGGAGATTCTGTAAATTTTTCATCCAAACCGTGACCGAAGAAGAAGATTAGAACTAGCTGGAAGTTGTAGAGGGCTGCCGGAGTGATACAAGGCAGCGGAGAAGCTTTGGGTTCACCGGAAAACGCAAAGGTGAGAGAGAGGGAGCTTCTCTTTAGATCTGAGAGCGTCGTCGATTTCAAGCCCAATCTTCAGACAGCGTCAAAATTTTAGAGAGAGAACAAGGATAACTATGATTTGTTAAAATAAGAAGAAGCAGAAGAGCTCACCAGTGAGAAGAAAACGACTGTATAGGCAAGCTTCAGATCTATTTAAGCGTCGTCGATTTCAAGCCCACAGCAGTGACAAGAAAACGATTGTGTAGGCAAGCTTCAGAGAGCGTCATCGATTTCAAGTCCAATCTTAAGAGAGGGTCGTCAATTTTAAGCCCGACGTTGTGCGTACTGGAGTCGCCGAATTGCCTTCAGCTGCGCGACATAACCTTAGCCCTAGATATTTGTTGCAATTTCTATTTATAACTATTCTCAAATTATTCCAAGTTTTGGCATATCTTGCCCCCGCTACAGTGAAAACTGGGCCGGTTAATTTTTGGAATAAGCCAAAACACCATTTTCTTGTTTTAACTTTTGGCCCAAAAAATGAAGTTGTTCTGACATTGTTGAAAGCAATACAGGCCATGCCAAACATATTTTGGGCCACAATAGTGGTACTGTAGCAGGCTGGAACACTACAACACAGAACATTACATATACCAAACAAGGCCTAATCTTCCGCTGCACACCTCACAACTTTCCCATCTATATCCAATATCACACCCCTCTAACACCATCCATGGCCACTTTTGGTTAATGATGAGTTATGTCAGCCTAATAAGCTTACTAAATCTTCAACGTTAAAGCCAATGAAGTGTTTTGGACGGTTTTGTAATATCTATAAATTTAGTTTACTTTTGGATGAAAGTGAAAAAAAGGTTCATCGAACCATTGTTATTTTTTACCATTGTGCCCCCGATTGACTTCAAAAGTTTGTTTGGATTTGTTTCCAATTCTTAGACCAATGTTGATCCAAACATGTGATTAAATCTTTTCAATCATCATCATACATTCTTTGCATAATGCTTCATCTTTTTCTTTGGACCAAATGAGTTTTATTTGTCTGGAAATAGGTTAGGATTGAGGAGGCTGATAAGATGGGTATCGGAATTGAGGTGGGTATTGGGGATTAGGTGAGTACTAGAATTGACGTGGGTATTGGGGACGAGATAGGTATTGGGGTTGAGATGAGTTAGTAGATTGGGAAAAATCTTGAGAGTGGAACTCATAATTAAATTTTAGTGGTAATTCGGAGTTGTGAGATTGGTTGAAGTGAGGGTTGTAAGATGGAGGTCGAGACTTATGGAATGTTGGAGGATGAGAATTTAGTGAAATGAGTGTTGAATGATAAGAAAATTGAGTGAATTTAGTTAAATGAGTGTTGAACGATAAAAATTTGAGTGTGGCATTTATAGAGATTATATATATATATATATAAGGCTAAAAAGCCGTTGAATGGGGCTCGCGTGTGGCGAACCCCCGGCTCATCAATTGTGGCGAGGTTGTTAATTTTGGTTCTGCTCGTGGCTCACCATTTGTTACCTACGTTGAATGCCCTTAATTATGATCCGACTCAAAACCCAAAAAAAAAAAAAAAAAAATACTATTGACCCTATTATGCTACTATTCGTATTTAGTTTAAATTGTATAAACTTATGTTGCGTTTTGTACGTAGGAATGAGGAATCCAATCATTCATTTGTTTTGAATGAAAATTTATCTCACAACTAAACATGTGGAATGACCACTTTATTTCCAAATAAATTCTTTCAAAAAATAAGTTTTAAAAAAACCCTCATATTCCAACTCCAAAAATCACCACAACCGTCTTTCACCACCACCACTACAACCTCTACTACTTTCATGACTGCCACCTCCACCACCGTCACTACTATTGACACCGTCGTTGGCGTCACCAACACTGCCACCTTTACTGCCTTCCACTATTACCACCTCCACAGCCAGTACCACCGACTTGCTTTTCGCTACCAAAAAATTGTTTCAGGGAGCACATTGTACACTAAATACATATTTACGTAATAATGTGTATACATATAAATTAATGTTTATGGAGCTTATATAGAGAGAGAGACATAGGTAAATATATATATAGAGAGAGTGATATTTTTTGGATGAGGTAAATTAATAAATTACATATATAGAATATACTGAAATAATTTAAGAAAAAAATTGAGAAATTTTAGAAGACATTTTTACACATCCCAAAAAATATATATATATTATAAGAAAAAATAGTATATAATAAGAGAGAGAAAAAATCCATGGGGCACGTGCCCCTTGGTCCTATACTGCTTCCGTTCGTGACTAGGGATGGCAATTTACCTCGCAAGGACTGGTACCCGCCCCACCTCGCCCCGTTTATAGCGATTTTGGGGGACTGTTTAGCTTATTTGGGCAGGGATGATTTTTATTAATGAAAACCCGCGCAAGTTTGAGGTGGAGACCGGGGGAGGTCGCCCCGCGCCGGCCCGTTTAGGTAGGTAAATGACTAAATTACTCTTATTTTCTTAATATATTTAGTTAACTCTAGAAACCTTAAGTGACATTTACTCATTTTCTCAACCGTTCTAGTGAACGGCAGAGCTCTACGAACTAAGAACGCTCATACTCTTGAATTTTATGTTAAATTATTGATTACCTTTATATATATTGAGGACACCAAAATGACCTGGGTTTGGTGTGATCCACATTGCATAGGACGGGTCAGATGTGGACGAACGGGATGGAGCAAGTTCGCGTCGTATGGACCCAGGTCCATAAAGTCATTTCAGAAGCCCATGATAAAATGAGGGAAGTCAAGTCCAGCCAAAGGAGAACAAGATAGGACCAGCTTAGTGGTGGTTATAACCGTCTATAAATAGAAGGGATTGAAAGGGAAAAGGGGTTAAAAAAATCATTGGGAGTGTAAAGTTTATCTCTCTACGATTAGGGAAAAATTCTTTGTATTTTCAATTGGCGCCGTCTGTGGGAAGAACAGGAAGGATTGATTGATATCATTCCAGATCGGATCGATTCAACGCATTCTGCGAGGAAGACGACTAATCTGCGAAAGCTGAATCAACATTGGTAATAGTACGATTTGTCATGACGAATCCAAGTTCCGGTTGATTTCGGAAAATTGGCGTCCGATCCAAGCAGATCAGATCCGTGCTTGATCCGGCGAACTGCGCGGTTGTGATCTGTTGTGATTACTGAATCCGGCCAGTAGAGGATTGAATTCGGCAAGTGTAAGTTCAGATCTGGTGTGCGCGCGTTAGCGGAACTCCGATTTGATCAAAAAGCCTGCAGTTGATGACTTTGCTCCAATCTGGAATGATGATCGGAGAGGCGAACCCGAATTCTTTGGAGAACGGCCAGCAGACAAAGCTCGATGAGCTAATGAACATAATTGATGCTTTGAGGAAAGAAAATGCAGAGCTACGAGCTGGAATGGAGTATCGAGAGGCTTCTGCAATTTTGAGGCCGCCTCCTGAAGGAGAGGGAGTTTTACCGTCCGAAGCTGATCGTCAAGGTGATCCAAAAGACGTCAATCGTGGTGGTCCACGTCGTGATGAAGGTATAATCGGTAATCTGCCTCCGAATGTCGGCCGAGTAAAGGATCGGGAAGGATCTGTTCGTCTGGAACCGCATCACAAACGGATTATGAGGGAGGAAGCACCGGCATATGAACATAGGATTGCGTCATCATGGTGGAGTGAATTTGCAGAGGATAGGTCGTTCGATCCGCCATACCGACCTTCATTAGCGACAGTTGATTACCATAGCTCAGAAAGGAGATCTGCCGATCGAGGATTTCCGTCACGGTTTTCAAGAGAAAACGAAGCATTGTGTTCCTCAGCAAGGACGGTCGCATCGCCATTCACTGATGAAATTATGAACGCGCCGAATTCAAAGAAGTTTTCCATGCCGGTCTTCATTCTCTTTGACGGAACAACCGATCCGGTCGATCATATATACCATATTCAGTTGAAAATGGCTTTGAATACTAATAATGATCCTTTGATGTGCAAGTGTTTTCCTACGAGCTTGGCTGGACCAGCTCTCAATTGGTTCAAGAATCTGGCCCAAGGCTCAATCGCCAGTTTCCAGGACTTATGCGATAAGTTCATAAGCTAGTATTACGGGAAGAAGCGTCCGGCTAAGGATGTATCGAGCCTTTTCACAATGAAGCAGCATGAGGATGAGCGGCTCCAAGCTTTTCTCACCCGGTTCAACCTCGTTAAAAGCATGGTAATGGAGTGTCACCCGTCAACAGCAGTCCAAGCATTTAAACTCGCAATGAACCGGGGGACGCCGTTCCACACCAGCTTGGTGGTTAATACACCAAGGACAATGGACGAGCTGAACGAGAGAGCTGACAGTTTTGTTCGCCTTGAGGAGGAGGAAGCAGCTAATTCAAGGAAAACGTTAATTATTTCGACGGAGGAGAAGTCCAAAGCCAAGATCCGGCAAAAACAAGCTCAACCGCAACATCACCCCTCATGAAAGGCGGAGAAGAGGCCTAGGGAGGAGGAATCAGTCACTCCACTCAGAGTCACCTTAGCAAGGCTATACCAGGAGAACAAAGATAAGTTTCATCCTCCTCTGCCAATCAGGCAACCTCTTGAGTAGAGGGATCAGACTAAACATTGTGCTTTCCATAGTGATTTTGGACATCAAACTAACGAATACAGGAACCTAAGGAGGCAGGTAGAGATGCTAATCGCAAAGGGGGAATTTGCAAGCTATGTTCAAGGTCCGGCGCAAGAGCATAACCGCCCGACTGAACAAATCAAGCGGAACCAGAGGCTGAATTAACACAACTCTAAACCCGTCCGGATTATAAATGCAATTCATGGCCGGCCTGAACAAACGACGGAGTCAGAGGAGTTGCTCAGAACGAAGTTATGCTAGGCCCAACTGAAAAGAAGAATTGGTAGTGTGCATGCTTTGCACCAGCAGAACGCATCTACATCGATAAAGTTTGATAAAACGGACCTGCTACGCGTTCAGATTCCTCATGAAGATCCACTAGTCGTCAGTCTGACGATTGCAGAATGCCTGGTTCGGAGAGTCCTGATTGATCCAGGAAGTAGTGCGAATGTTATGCCCAGGGTGACGTTCGACCGACTGGAGATCGAACCCGAAAGACTTAAACCCACAGGAAATCCGTTACTCGGATTTGATGGGAAGCGAGTGGAACCCATTGGAATAGTGGAATTGACAGTACAAGCCGCTGAGCGAGTTTTGACTAAAAGTTTTGTGGTAGTGGAAATTCATCCATCATACAACCTCTTGATGGGTAGAGGATGGATTCACAGAGTTCAGGGCGTTCCGTCAACCTTACATCAAGTGATACGATGTTTGGGTCCGGATGGGACCAAGGTGATAGATATACACAGGGAC